GGATAGATACGGTGCTTGAAGACATGGTATAGTGATGGACTTGGCAGTGTTAGGTTGACGGTTGGACTCGATGATCTTAAGGGTCTTTTTCCAACCCTGACGATTCTATGATTCTATGAAATATATACAAAATTGAAACTCTAATTTCCAAATATCTCAGTGAAAAGTACAATGTATGACGCTACGGAGATGCCGAAAAAAACCCTTATTTTTGTCTTTTTTGCTCAACAAAAAATCTCAGAAGAGTTTCACTTTCTAAAACAAAGAACAAGAGTGAGCAAGCCATATCTGAATCACTCCCCTACTTCAAGCATCATTTTTCAGGAGTCCTACGTCCCAAGATCCCCCTCAACAAAAAGTGAAAACTACCCAACTATGAACACCCAAAGTGTTACAGCACCTCTGGGAACAAAGATCCGTACTTTACAGGTTTATAGAAAATTCAAACCTAAACAGAAAAAAGGTTATTTCAGAACACATGAAGCAGAAGCGTGACTAGTTAACTAACAAGCACTCCTAAATTCTCACGAAGTAGATTCAGATCTCAGTTTGAGACAGTCTTCTTGGCCAGATAAAAATTACATTTGATTTTTATCAGACCTTTTAAATCACTTCCTTATTGATTTAACATCATCCCCTGCAGAACCATGAATTTCACCAAGTTATAACAATCAAAACAGAGATGTGCCAGAGATGTTACTCTTCTAGTCAGCTCCGTAGTAAGCTCCTCCATGTAAAAGAAGCCCAGCTGAAATCAAAACAGCTCTGCAAAAACATACAAGTTTATACCAATACAGAAGCCTCTTTTCATGCTTAAATTCTTCAGGGAATCATTAACCTTTAACCACATTCCCCCAGTGTTGCAATAGGCAGTGATTCACTTTCAGTGGAGACCAGGTTTGGAAGAAATCCACTACAACTCAGTATTGTGTGGTATAGTGACCATCACCACGTCCTCCCGCAAATCATGCAAAGACGTCATCCGGTCTCGAAAAGCAGAGTAAAGGCTATGGAGTCTGGATAGCGAATCTTCTGCTTTCTAACGCAGTTCTCAACTACGCTGGTTTCCGAGAGAAGTTATTAGACATTTATATATACCACTGTTCAAAGTCACTTCATTATGAAACTGGTAAAAACCTGGCAAAAATTCAAATATGAAAATGCTGAACAAAAGTACCATGATGTTTATCTGCAACTAGGAAGGCACATGACTTTAGAAGAGAGTTGCAGTAGGATAACAAACTTCAGATGGACATAAGAATGCAGAAAAGAGATTCTTCTGTAGGAAAGCAAAGGTTTCAACACTTTCTGCAGAGCTATAATTATGTTAAATTACGGAAAATTTATGAGCGTTTAATCTAGGATCATCTTGCTGAAAGAGGAAATACCGTAGACCTAATCTGGCTGTAAATTCCTGCCACTCCTTCTCTGCACTTTTTGGCCCATATTATTCAGAACATTTATAGCATGGATTAGGCAAGCCTACTTGCAGAACATACTTATTGAAAGTTGTTCAAATTTTTTAAGAAGGGAAATGGAGGCAGAGGAACAATGAAGTCCTCTGGCATGCTGCTAGCAAAATTACTTCTTTCAAGAACAAAAACTACAAGGCGCCTTTCAAACCCACGGACCCTAGGAGTGCGTATTTCACAAAAGTCTAACTAGTCTTTACAGGATTACCCTCACATGGAATAACTTATAAAAACTTAAAAAAAAAGGGATTTTTACTAATTCTGTCAAAAAAACAGCAGTGGGATAAGCACAGAGATTAGCGAACAATACCAGGAAAGAAGAAAAAGGTGACAAAACTACAGACCCATAACTCTCAAGTTAATTAACAAACAAGGAAGTGAAACAAGTTTTGAAGGAAACAGATATGGAAGTTGGAAATGGGAAAAAAGTTAAACTGTCAAGAAACCTATTCTTTTTCACCAGATGTTCTTTTTTTTTTTTAAAAAAAAAGGAAAAAAATAATGCAGCAGACCTCCTTGGGAAAACCAGAGATTGGCGAATTTGCAACTAAGGCACGAGGCAGAGGGTATGCAAAATAATTAAAGAAGAGATTATTGGTTATGCCTGGAAGAAATATAATGTATCAGAAATTAGATGAATGCACGTGGATGGACCTGGACTTAACTCTGTACAGCATTCTTCTATTTCAGTACTGGATTCCTTGAACACTGGTCCAGGGAGCGATCTAATTTTAATTTAGTCACCAAAGACTGCTTCTCAGCATTTTATCTTCAGCATGTCTGCCAACAGAAAGGAGGACTAGATTATCAGAGGAAGAAATGAATGAACTCACAGACTGAAGTGACAGGAATGGGATTAAATATGATGGCCAACAACATTGCCTTTCAATGTGAATATGAATCTTTTTTCCAAATGTAGGATTAATCTATTTGAAGAGGCAGAAAAGTGAATTAAGATTGCATGGTGACTGACCATAAGGCATCGCTGTAGGCACCAAACCCCCAAAATTTATTTCCAGTAGAGGCAGGGATAATAGTAATGTCTTCATGGAAGCCAGTAGAACACACTGTCCTCTAGTTATCAATAAAAGAAAAGAGAAAGCACATCAGGTGCAGAGAAGCATCACTCAGATGGGAGTGATGAATGGGAGCTTACAGCACCAGAAGGGACCAAAATAGCTTAGCTCACCTAGCCTAACAAAACAACGGCTGGATGGAATAAAACCGCGCTCTGTGAATACACCATGGGTAAATGCCAAGGATGAAAGAGAGCTGTTTGAACTAAAGGATAATACTGACAAAAAGAATAAATAGATATAAACTAACCCTAAATAAATGTGGGCTAGAATAAAGAGGAAAGCTTCCCACTGAAAAGGAGATACTTACAACTGCTTCCCAACAGAAATGGGCAGCGTGATGAACGTACCTGCTTTCAGGGTGAAGCTCAGTAAGCTCAAAAGCCAGATTACGTGATGTGGTGGCCTATCACAGTAGTAAAGCAGACCATGTCCACAAATATTATACAAGGTACTAGGTAAAGTGCTAAATTAACATCTAATCATGATAAATGCAGACTGTG